AGCCAGAAAACTCCAGCGTTTATCAAATTACAAACTATGAAATTCCATAGCATAAAACTATGGGGATTATAATGATATTATAGCACTGGAATTCTGTAGTGTGAATGGGCCAGTCTTGGGCAGAGGCGGCCCTAGGTAATTTTCAATGGTAAGCAAACAGTATTTTGGCGCCCCCACCCCACCAATTACTGATATATATTTTCTGTTCGTCGTGGGAGTTCTGTGTGCCATATTTGGTTCAATTCCATCATTGGTGGAGCTCAGAATGCTCTTTGATTGTAGGTGAACTATACATCCCAGCAACTACAACTCCCAAATGACAAAGTCATAATTTTCCAAGAGCAGCTCAAGAGCGCCCCTGGGCAAAATCAACTATACTGCAAATGCTTACTTTGCATAATGGGTTGAGCCGCCCCTGGTCTTGGGAGAGAGGTGGAGCATACATGAAATAAACATTATTGTGACCCAACACTGTGATTGTAATCAAAATTGCCTCCTAATCTTGTGACTGTTAACATTTTTAAAAGCAGTCTCCCCCCCCCCCCCCCCGCCGCCCCCCCCCCCCCCCCCCCCCGAGCTTCAAAAAGAAAGGAAATCATGGCTCTGGGACCAAGCTTTTGTCCAGTAGTACAATGCAGTAAGTGTAGTTGGAATATGTGCAATAACGACTGGAATGGCTTTTTACTATGACTTCAGTTTGCATGGTTTTAATAATGGTTTTAATATTTATATTGCTTTTTAATGTATGTTTTTAATGTATATGTTCATTTTATTATATTTCTGTTGATATGGCATCAAATTGATGTCGGTTGTAAGGCTGCTTTGAGTCCCCTTTGGGGTGAGAAGGGCGGGCTATAAATACAGTAAATAAATAAAAACGAGGACACTCTGTTCATCACAAAACTTCTATTCGGTCCTGGGAATATCACTTCCTGCAACTGAATTGCATTCTGCCTACAGAGACAGGGACCACAATAAATCTGTGAGTCTTTAATATGCCACATTCCTCTGCATTGTTTTTGCTATGAGAAACTAATGAGTCTCTCTCTCTCTCTCTCTCTCTCTCTGGAATCTGCAATGATATGATGGTATTTTATGAAGCTCTCACTGCATTGCCTTAACTGTATCCCAGTGAAGTAGGGCAAAGCTCATGTTGTTCCAGTATTTTTTAAACTAAAAGTGGCCTGTCTAAGATCACTGTAAGATCACAGAACGGACACTAAGTAAAACCATCTTTTGTAGCCATATTGTTTGGTGAGTACATGTACTGCTTTGCTAACCCTAATGTGCGATCATTCCATCATCATGCATATTTGTATTAGTTTTTTTTTAATTTATAGAATTATGCTTCTCTTCAGATCAAGGCTATACCTGTTAAGCCAGTTATTTCTTAGTATTGCTTTGTGTACATCCATGTTGATATCCCCCTCCTACTATCTGTTGTTTTCAAAACACAGTGAAACTGTATGCCTTGAGGCTAAGTTTGTAAATTATACAAAGTGTGCTAATATTCGCAGTGCCACATGTATGCACACTTCTTACAGCTCTAACATTTTTAAATGAATACAATTCTATTTATTTCTATTTATTTCTTCATTTTAATACTTTTCATATTTACAGGATTCAGTGGGACTCTCCATCCATCTGCATTTTTACGCATTTTCTAGAATTTCACCTTTTGTTACTGGCCTATATACCCTACAAACACCAAGTCCCACTTGATCTTGGAAGCAGGGTCAGCTCCAGTTACAATTTGGATGGGACACTGCCAAAGAAAAACAAAGTGCTGTTGGCTATATTTCAAAGGAAGGACCTGGAAAAATAACTCTGAATATTCCTCATCTTTAAAAACTTATGATGAAATTTATGGGGAAACTATAAGTCAACAGGTGACTTGAAGGCGTACACACACACCTTATATAGCCACACAAAGCTTACTGAGTCCCCTTCCACACAGCTGAATAAAATCCCACATTATCCGCTTTGAACTGGCATATATGGCAGTGTGGATTCAGATAACCCAGTTCAAAGCAAATATTCTGGATTTTCTGTCTTGATAGTCTGAATTATATGATTGTGTGGAAGAGCCCTGAGGCTAGCAGGCAGGATGCTTGAGTTTCAGGATTCAGTTATGCGGTGCTAAGCAACTGCCTATGAATGATACTTTAAAAAAAATTATTTTAAAGCTGGGAGATTCTAGAACCAGTAATTTTTGAAAAATCAACTTTTCCAAGCACCCCTGAATGTCTCTTAAAAAGAGAGTAGAAAGTCTGAACATGTAGAAATGTGGAGGGAGGTAAAGTATGCTGGATATTTTGTAAACATACCAGCTATAGCTGTGTGTGTTTTATGTATGATTTAAAGTGGGCATGGGCAAACTTGGACCCTCAAGGTGCTTTGGATTCCAACTCCCACAATTCCTGACAGCCTCGGGCCCCTTCCTTTTCCCCCTCAGCCGCTTAAGCCTAAAATAAGTGAATTAAAAAATTTAGTAAGTATAACTAAATCACTTATTGCTAAAGTTAGGGTGGTCCAAGTGATCGTGATGATGTTATGTATGAGTTTTTAAAAGGATAGTGAAGAACACTGATCGGCAGATCGGTTAATTTTAAATGTCGGAAAATAATTCTGTAGATATTGTTGACTAACAGAAAGACAAACACATGGAGCCAAGACCAAAACAGGTCTGAAATCACTCTAGATAGAAGCCAAGGTGACTAAAGTGAGGCTGTTGTATTCTGGCCAAATCATGAGAAGAAGAAAAAAAAGACTATAATGCTTAGGAAACAGTGGGTAATACGAAAAGAGGAAGATCACATTCTGGATGGATAGACACAATGAAAAAGCGCCTGCAAGACCTGAGCAGGGCTGTTAAGGACAGAGCTTGGGGTGCATCTGCAGTAGAAATAATATAGTTTGATGCTGTGTTGTCAAAGGCTTTCATGGCAACCTAGTTTTATACTGTTTAAACTGCGATGGCTCATTACAACAAAATAGTAAGAATTGTAGTTTTACAAGATCTTTAGCCTTCTCTGGCCACGAGTGCTGGTGCCTCACCAAACTACAACTGTAATGATTCCATAGCATTGAGCCATGGCAGTTACAGCTGTGTCGAACTGCAACAATTTCTCATGGTAGATGCACTCTTAGAGTGCAACCTTCATAGGGTTGCCATATGTCAAACTCAACTTGAAGCGAGTTAACAAAAGTTGCAGAAGGCACTCCAACAGAATGGGAATAACATGGGCCATGGATTCAACATTATGTCCTTCATTTATTTCCCTTAGGTATCTTAAACCCAGCCCTGGGTTTCAGTTTGGACACAACTGATGTTGCCTTAAAATGCCTCTGTAAAAAGAAGAGCAGGAGGAAACGAGGAAGAGAATAAAGAAGAAGAAAGAAAAAGGAGGGAACCTCATAGAAGCTACCGGGAAGTCAAGAAATCTTCACTTTTATTATCATTTACCTCCCCCCCCCCTCTTCTCAACTCTTCACATTTTTTCCTGTACACTCTTTCTCTTGCCCCCCCCCCCTCCTTTTACTTGCTCACTTTTTCTTCCTCTTTACTTCATATCCCTATTCTATACTCTATATATCTTTTGGATGTTTTAATGTAACTTAATTTTTAAAACTGTTTCTCTAATAAAGATTTTTTTTTAAAAAAAGCCTCTGTTTCTGTGCATGTGCAGAAATACCATATAGCCCGAAAAAACCTACAACAACCCAGTGATTCTGGCCATGAAAGCCTTCGAAAATACATTAAAATATAGTCCACGGCCTCACCGTTACTACACCGTTGCAACAAGAGCAAAACACTCTTATAATGCTGAGGCTTATTAAATATGGTTTTTTATGGGCAAGCATATGGCGATTACTGGATGGCATATGTTCTGTATCAGAAACTTGAGCTGATGTGGTCTATCTGATGCAATTTTCTGAATCAGCACCCCAAATAACCAAACCAAATCTGAAGTTGACCAAATACTTCATACTGATTTGTAACTAATGTTGGAGAGTGGTCCCTGGTCAAGCAGTCCTTGAGCAAAAAAAGGTTGGGAACCAATATCTTTGAGACTTTTGGTACTACAGTAGAGTCTTGCTTATCCAACATAAATGGGCCAGCAGAACATTGGATAAGCGAAAATGTTGGATACTAAGGAGGAATTTTTAAAAAGCCCTATTTAACATCAAATTACATTATGATTTTACAAATTAAGCACCAAAACATTGACAGAAAAAGCAGTTCAGTACACAGCAACGTTATGTAGTAAGGACTGTGTTTACGAATTTAGCACCAAAACATTGCAATGTATTGAAACAACTGTGGATCCGGGAGAGGGGCAGACTGCATTGGATAATACAGAACCTTGGATGAGTGAAGGTTGGATAAGCAATGTTGGAGAAGTGATCCTTGGTCAAAGCGGTCCCTGGACAAAGAAAAAGTTCGGGAACCACTGCCGTAGCTCAAGAGATGGGGTCATGAAACATTTCGCAAGAGTCAAAGCTTTCTAAACGCCGCCCATGAACACAAACCTGTGCACAACAACTGTGCAGTGTTTAAAGCGGACTCTGGAAAATGTTTCGGCTGTGGTCAACAAAAGGAAAATAAATCAGCCTGTTTAGCAAGCTTTGCAAATGCTGGTTTGATGATTCAGTATACCTATTTTATATATACCTGGAGTCAAATAAATTTTGTCTGGACTGGGGTGGAAAGGGGTTGCAAGTGGAAAGAGTTGAAGAAGCCCTGATCTCCACTGCAGGATGAATGTAATTTGAGTGAGCCCACTTTCACTGCCATGGCTCAAGGGTAGGGAAGCCTAAACTTGGAGACTGCTCTTTTGCCTCTTCTGTCCAAGGGAATTCGTGACTCCCCAAAGGCGGATCCCCTAACTTTGAGCCAGTGCAGTGAAGGAGTAGATGCATCTGGGTTCAACCCTGGAAAGCACAGAAGAGAGGTAGACTGGGTGGAGAAAGAATGGGGAGACTTTGGCCTGCCTTACCTGCGCCAGAAGCAGCAGCAGCAGCAGCGCCCAGTCAGTCACATCTCTCCAGGAACAAATGCGGCTCAAGACGCACAGAGCCCACTCCTGGAGGCTCCAGATCCAGGCTTTCCCAGGCGCCTGTTCCCCCTTCCACACACCCCTTTGGTCCACGAGCGACTTGTTGCCCCGTCCAGGCAGAGGGCCGTCCCTTTTGCTGGCAGGGCTGGTCTACTTTGAATGCTCCTTTTCCGCTGCTACGTCCTCCTCCTCCTCTTGCCTGTGTTTGTTGAATGTGCGGGAGAAGGAGGAAGGAGGGAGGGAGGAAGGAGGGAGGGGGTCGGAAAGCAGGAAGGAAGTTGTGAGCCTGTCTGGGGTTGAACATTTTGATTCGGGGGGGGGGGGGGGGGGGGGGTGGGGGGGAAACTCAGCGGAACAAGTTCCTTTCTTTCTTTCTTTTTCCCCCCCCCCGACTCTTTTCTAGAGCTTGGCAGGACCGATGGAGGGAAGGAAACACTAACCAAAGAAGAAGAAAAAAAGTTTCCATTGTTAACTTCAGCTCTCCCATCTTTGTGGGTTAAAGATACATCCTCCCCCTTTTTTCCACTCCTCCCGCAGCTACTATGTATTTAATGCAGCTCGAACTGCAGTCTATGGTCAGTGTAGATCAGGCATGGGCAAACTTCAGACCTCCAGGTGTTTTGGACTTCAACTCCCACAATTCCTAACAGCCTCAGGCCCATTCCTTTCCTTTTCTGCTTAAGCATGAGGGTGGAAAGGAAGGGGCCTGAGGCTGTTAGGAATGATGGGAGTTGAAGTCCAAAACACTTGGAGGGCCCAAGTTTGCCCTTGCCTGGTGTAGACTCATATATGTTCGATCTGCATTAAATGTCAGTGTAGATAGGTCTTGTGACACTTGCCCAAGGTTACCCACTGGGTTTTTGATGGCCAAGATTTGAACCCTGGTCTACAGAGTCATAGGCTGCATCTATACTGCCACGTCACACAGTTTCAGAATGCAGGTTTGAATTGGATTACCTGAGTCTACACTGCCATATAATCCAGTTCAGTGCAATTAGTATGCATTCTGAAACTTCACTGTATGGCAGTGTAGATCCAGCCATAGTCCACTAGAATCATAGAGTTGGAAGAGACCTTGTGGGCCATCGAGTCCAACCCCCTGCCAAGAAGCAGGAAATACGCATTTAAAGCACTCCCGATAGATGGCTATCCAGCCTCTGTTTAAAAGCCTCCAAAGAAGGAGCCTCCACCACACACCGGGTCAGAGAGTTCCACTGCTGAACAGCTCTCACAGTCAGGAAGTTCTTTCTAATGTTCAGATGGAATCTCCTTTCTTGTAGTTTGAAGCCATTGTTCCGGGCAGCAGAAAACAAGCTTGCTCCCTCCTCCCTATGACTTCCTCCCACATATTTATACATGGCTATCGTGTCTCCTCTCAGCCTCCTCTTCTTCAGGCTAAACATACCCAGCTCTTTAAGCCACTCCTCATAGGGCTTGTTCTCCAGGCCCTTTATCATTTTAATCGCCCTCCTCCGGACACATTCCAGCTTGTCATTATCTCTCTTGAATTGTGGTGCCCAGAATTGCACATAGTATTCCAGATGTGGTCTGACCAAGGCTCTGGGATAGCATGACTTCTCTGGATCTAGACACTATACTATTGATGCAGCCCAAAATCCCATTGGCTTTTTTTGCTACCACATCACATTGTTGGCTCATGTTTAACTTGTTGTCCACAAGTACTCCAAGATCTTTTTCACATGTACTGCTCTTGAGTCACGCGTCCCCCATTCTGTATCTTTGCATTTCATTTTTTCTGCTTAAGTGGAGTATCTTGCATTTGTCATTGTTGAACTTCATTTTGTTAGTTTTGGCCCATCTCTCTAATCACTACACCCCACTGACTCCAAATACAGCTAAGCTTCTCCTCAACAATGCCTTAATTATAGGCAGAGCCAGGAGAGGGACGGAGAATTTTAATTATATCACACTAGAGAAAAAATATCCATTTAAAATCCAGTTTCTGCCTCCTGCAGAATTCTGAGGTTTGTAGTTTAGTGAGGCTCTTAAAGGCTCCTGTCTAAACTACAAACCCCAGAATTCTGCAGGAAGTGGATTTTTTTTCCTAGTGTGATGAGGCCTATAATAGGATTTCTTTGAGGAAAGTAACTTTTATGTCATCACAAGAAAGGCAGGGAGGGAGAGGATAAGGGAATAGAGCCATAGGGAGAAAGGGATAACAAATTTATTATTAATAGTAGTAGTAGTATATGACTTTCCTAAGACCAACTTTGGGAAAATGTCTTTCATGGATCACAGGTTTACAGGATGCTTGAGAAAAAAAATGGTAACTTAACTAAACTTTAGAATGCAGGATGCAAGTTAGACTTTCAAGATAGCTAGCATACTTTATTATCCCCTCCCCGTTGTTCTTGTGATGGCATAAAAGTTACTTTCCTCAAAGAAATCCCATTATAATAAAAACAACTGGGAGGTGTTGGCCTAAGTTGGTCTTGGGAAAGTCACTTACTACTACTAATAATAATATGAATAATTTTAAAAATGTTTGTTACCCATCTCTCCCTGTGGCTCTTATATTCCCTGTCTTCCCTGTGATTACATAAAAGTTGCTTTTCTCAGAGAGATGCCTTTATAATAAAATTAGAATTTATAAATGAAAAGCAAGCTAGAATTATACACACACTAAAGCAGTGGTTCCCAACCTTTGATCCTCCAGGTGTTTTGGACTTCAGCTTCCACAATTCCGAACAGCTGATAAGCGTGCTGGGATTTCTGGGAGTTGAAGTCCGAAACAACTGGAGGACCAAAGGTTGGGAACCACTGCACGAAAGTTACAAATAATCACCCCTCAAAGTGGGAACAAATTATGCAAAATTAACTCCTGTAGTGCAGTGTCTGGTGCCCATTCTGGTTCGTGGTCAGACTTGGGGTAAGCAAGGGACAAAATGTGTTGTTATTCAGAGAGAAAGGGAGAGAAGCATAAGGGGACATTCACACATTTCTGCCTTGACATTCGGGGTTATATGGCTGTGTGGAAGGGCCCTTCATGTACCACTTTATTGGTTCAACTGGAACCAACTGCAGCTTTGCTCCTGCTCCTTCAAAATGGTCTCCTCATAATCATCCCATTTAAACTACAGATAACTGAAAAACCTTAGAACGGAATTTTGTTGATTTTTCTCATTCCTTCTTATACATTTTATTTCTATTATTGCATCTTTTGCATATACACTAGGACGTTCTGCTGAGCAGATCTCAAAAAGTCGCATTTGGACTACAGCTCCCAGAATTTCCCAACCTACATGGTTATTATTTATTATTAGAAGAAAGGAGCAAAAAGAGAGGCTGAGTGTAAGAGACCAAGTTTAAATGTAGAAATTGGATTTTTCTTTAATCTTTTTTTTTTATTCTGGAGGAACTAATGTGTAACCAGAGTTTGTAATTTTGGGCTGTACCGGCCAGAATCCACTTGGTGGAGGATTCTAGGCACTGTGGTCCACACCAGTAAGCTTTCCAAGCTTTGAGTTTTATCATGTGAGGACCAGCTTCATATGCCTGATGCTCACCAAGTGGCCTTGGGCCCCTTCCACACAGCTGAATAAATCCCCACATTATCTGCTTTGAACTGGAATATATGGTATTGTGGATTCAGATGACCCAGTTCAAAGCAGATGTTGTGGGATTTTCTTCCTCTACATTCTGGGTTATATGGCTGTGTGGAAGGGCTCTTGGATTCAGTTCATATCTTTCAGCCTAATCTCTTTCACATGGTTGTTGTGAAGGCAGAAGGAGTTAGCGTATGATTTGAAAATTACATGATAAAAATATGTTTCTTCCATTTCCATTTTTAGTTTCTTCTGTATTTGGAGCAAGCCTTTGGGTGGAAGGGTGATTTTGACCTATCGAGCCTTTCAAACCACAAGGCCTGCACAACCGAAAGACAGCACATAGTACTGTTAGCATGAAAACAGGAAGTGCAAATCATTCACACTTGCGCTGTCATTGCTTATTTGTAACATCCAAAATTGCCTGATCAGCGACTGCCCTTTTGAGCTTACTTGTCAGTGTCTAGTCTTGAGCATTTTACAGAAGAGCAGTGACAGCTTCTTGTTTCAACTTGCCCTTAATGCCCGGGGTCAAGTATACAGAACATTCTTCTGTTTTACATTGATGCTTTGTTTATTTCAATGGTTACTGGATTGCTGTCAAAGTAAGTTTTGCCTCTGGTGAGGTCTCAATAAGTGTGGTGTTCTTTCTCAAAATGTCAACCATTGTCAGATCTGTCAAATTCAGGTGTCACAGCTGTCCTTTCCATTGGCAACAGGATCTGGGTTCACCCACATTGTAGCCTCTTGCTCATTGACGCAGCTGAACAAGACAGTGTTGTCATTGGCATGAGACTCAAGAACAGCCCAACGACTGGGCTGCCAAAGGCAAATGATACCAAATCATTGCCTGCTGTATTATTTGCAACTTGAGACAGAACATTTCACCAGATCCTTTTCTTTCTCATACATAACAAAACAATCAAAATATCATTTTAATAAGTTACGTTACTAATGGCGATCTTTCATTATACCCAAATTAGCTGCCTAGAATAGGGCAGCCATCTTACATTGCCTGATATGGTCAAGAAGAATTTTGCAAACTCTTCTAAAACCAGGGTTCAGTCCTATCCACAATTGCCCAGGAGTTTCACTGAATTCTGTAGAATTTGTTTCTGAGTCAGTAGAGAATTACTCTGTAAATTCCACATTACTTATTCTTCTTTTTAACTCCTTATTTTAACCGAAAAAATGTTTCTCTTTTAACTTGTGCTTTTATTTACATATACATTAACTGAAATGAAATACTAGAATATAGAATATAGCATTTTTCCGAATGAAGCAGAGAGTGTTTGAGGACTGGGGACATCCGTAGGGATACCAAGGTGCTTGTTTTTCAAGCTATTGTCCTCCCAACCCTGCTATACGCCTGCGAGACGTGGACCATCTACAGACGTCACATGCAACTCCTAGAACGATTCCATCAGTGTTGCCTTTGAAAAATCCTGCAAATCTCTTGGGAAGACAAACAGCCAAATGTCAGCGTGCTAGAAGAAGCAAAGGCAATCAGCATTGAAGCAATGGTCCTCTGCCATCAACTCCGTTGGACCGGCCACATTGTCCGAATGCCTGACCACCGTCTCCCAAAGCAGCTGCTCTACTCCGAACTCAAGAATGGAAAACGGAATGTTGGTGGACAGGAAAATTTATTTATTTATTTGCTTTATTTTTATACCGCATTTTCAGCCT